CCTTTACGGTTACGGCCACTGAATTACGGTTACGGCCTATTATAAACGACGCTTTAAGCCCATGGCACATACAAAAACGTAAGGCCGTAATACGTAAGCAGTAAAGAAATCGTAAGATTGGATTCGCTACTGGCCTTACGGTCTCTATCGTGATTGGCCAATTCGCTTACTGATTATGTCTTACGGTCTTACGTTTTTGTATGTGCCATGGGCTTTACTGGCACCGGCATAAATTAACGGTTACGGCCATTATAAATCAGGCTTTAGGGCCTCTTAAAGCAAGGTTGTGGAGCTAGCCTAAGAGATGCATTTGGAATGACTTTAGGAACGGCGGAAAATGAGATTTGATTCTCTCTTTCTGATTCTTTCTGGTTAAATAGTGCACCGAGAAGGTAGTTCTGGTTTTTCGTAAATTATAATCCTTAAACATCTTATCCTATATTGTTAATGAGCATTTAAATTGTATAAAATATTACACAGTAAATCTTCCTCTCATGAATTAATGTCTAAGTAATCGTCATATTTGATCCGTTTGACCGTTAATCGACAATAGTCAAGTCTTGAGACTTTCGAGAGATCACTCGGATGGGGCGGACGTACTTCGATCCGAGTGTTGCATTATCTCAACAGTTTTGGAAAGTGTGACCGGCTTTAAACGAGCATCAGTATTCAAGCTCGCTTTTGTGTATTTTATTTTGTAACGTGATTCTGGCCGTATTGAGGGAGAGAGAGAGACTTTTAAAGACTTGTTTCTAAAGACAGGTGCCATTAATTAAAGGCGATTTTTGGCGTGCTTCTGGTATAGCAACTAAAAGCAATCGCAGTTGGGGCTATCTTTGTCTTCTGATCCCTGAAAACGAAGATAACTTAGTCGCGGTTGTTTTTGGTTGCTATACCAGAAGCACACCAAAAATCGCCTTAAGAAGACAGTTGTCACATAATGATTACGTTTATGTTGCTCGTTATTAGTTGCTTTCCATTTAGACTCAAGTGAAACTGAGTCTGAAGTGAGCTGAATATTTCATATTCGAATCAACGACATCATTACTTGCCTACTTTGGTAAAAAGTTATCACATGACAACATAGGTTGATAACCTCACTTTTAGTTTACGAGACTCGCTAAGCACACGATCTCGATCTTGTGCAGATTGTAACTCGGTTGAATCTCATTTGTCAGAATGCAAAAGGAACATACATTCATCTGAATTATGATGTCACAAGTGAGAATTATCTGAGAATTGGTGTAAATGGAAAGCAACTATTGTATACTAGAGTTATCCGTTCTGATTTTTTAAATTAAATGAATGTCCTGTTTGCTATAAAAAAATCAGTAGCTCAGAAAATTGACGTCTTAGATCTTGTATTGTTTATATTTTTCTATTTTTTTTTTTTTGACAAAAAATAGATGTCCATTTCATAGATGTCCTGATTTTTCATACCCGTGTCATATGGTAACTTTAGTTACGACAGATTTATTCAATGCTATGATACCTTAAGTCCAAATAATAGTTATAATAAATTAAATAGTGTTACAAATTTGTTGTATGCATGAGATCAGGAAACACAGAAGTGTTTCGGTGCTGAGACATGTATACATATACAGGTATATTTTATTTAATTTGAGAAATTTTTATTGTCAATCTTTTTCATGGACAATTGCTCAGATACAGTTATATATGCATACAATCGTGTACATTTGTTTTTATAATATAATTTTATAATTACAGGTGAAAAATGGCTAAGACTTCTGAAAAGAAGGGAAAGA